TGAGTTCCCATTCAATTTTCCTTAGACTTGCTTTCGCAAAAGTCATTCTCATCCCACTCCATGGGAGTGGACTACAATTTCGAACTCGCCTGAACTAGTCTAGTCAGCACCCCTAGCGGAACTCGAACAATAACAGTACAGCGTGCCATGGTTCAAGTCTTGCTGGAGGTGCTGAAGAGACAAGTTAAGACGAGGTCAAAACGGCAGTCCACTCCATTTGGGATGAGAATGGCCTTTGGGAAAGCAAAGCTAAGGAAAATTGAATGTGAACTAATCAGATTATGGGAAAATACAGCTAACATTCTTCTTATCACCTTAAACGAAATAGGATGAATTCAATTCATATGCATGTTTTCACATGTCCTCATCTGGGTTAGGCGGACCTTTAATTTACCACTTGGCTCTTACACTCTCTGCCTCGTATCTATGCTCTACGCGGATCACGTTGCCAAGTGTGTGTGTGTTAAGTGTGAAATTTACTGATACGATAGTGGGGAAATTCAACTACCACTCCCTTTATCATCTTAAAAGAAACATGGTAAATATACTTCATATATAAACGATGCATTGGTAGCTTCGTAACCTTACTTAAAAAACGAAAAGTATAAAATAATCGTTTATAAGTAGTATTTCGAGACAGCCAGTCGATCATATAGTTGATATATATTTATCCTATTTCGTGTAGGCTGATATGAGGATTGCTAGTTGAGTTTACCCAACATCAGATGAGTAAATTTGACGCTTCCTTGCTTTCTCTAAAGTCATTCTCAGTCTCGATCTTAGCAACATCTACAGCGGGAGTCGAACCACGGCACTGCAGCTTATAATATCGGCACGTTATATTTGCTATAGCAATCGAGTATGGTACTTATTTTTCGTTTATAAGTAGGCTTTCGAGGCTACCAGTGGGAGAAAGGACTGGTATTTCCATTTTCCTTAAATAACACGAATGTGGGAAAATTCAACTTTCTGTCCCCTTATTTTCCTAAACCAAATAGGATGAATACACCTCATGCAATATGAAATAATGTTTGCGAGCGGACGCAAAGAGGATCTGTGTGTGTGTGGGTTTGGCTACAGTTGTGGTGAAAGCGTGACGACGTTTCGGCCGGTCGTGTTTACACTGCTTGCAGGCGCTGAATTGGTACTAGTGGCCATAGTGATGCTGATGCTGCCTTGATGGACATCATCAGAAATGAACTGGTGCTGCTGGAAGGAGAGAGATGTGGAGCAGAGCGTGGGCTTCACACGTGCAGTAGAGGTCATGGCAACGGTGAAACAGGGGAGTTGAGCAAAGGATACAATCTTGTCGGATGTTGGCTTGAAGAGCGTCACGTGGAAAAGTGGGGAAAAGTGGTGAAAAATGGGGAAAAATGGTTGGACGGGAGGGAGAGAGGGCTTTTTCCGAGAAGGATGAATAACCGGCAAAGCAGCGCGGAGTGTGGGTCTTTTCGGGTCGTCTGCCAAAGCGTCTGTCAAGCTTGGGTCCTTCGGACATGTCTTCACCGCCAGGTTCAGCCTGACGCGGTTGAGCAGGCAGGGGCAGACCTTGAAAACTAGTCTAAACCAACACATAACATCCTTCCATCTATCGAGATGTACTGGAACACACTCCGATTTCTACAAGACTATACACCTCCTCAAACCCTTTGATCCCTTTGATCACTTCTACCACTTCAATCCCCTCGACCCGCTTGATCGTCTCCACCTCCTGAACAGCTTGGATCACCGAAAACAGCTTCGTACCCTAGACCCCTTGGATCTCATGGATCTCGCTAAATTCGATCAAATAAATCTTCTCGAACACTTTATAGCGCCATGAACTCCTCGAATCCAGTAATTGCCCCGATCAACTCAATCATTTTGATTCGTTCGATCCCTTAAATCCAGCCTATCCTTTCGAGCCCCTCAATCTCATAGGTCCACTGGATCTGCTTGATCACCTTTATCCCTTTAATCCATATATCCTCTTGATACCCTCGATCCCCTGAATCCCTTTGAACCACTCCCATGGAGTGGGATGAGAATGACTTTTGCGAAAGCAAGTCTAAGGAAAATTGAATGGGAACTCATCAGATTATGGGAAAATTCAATTTCCATTTTTCTTATCACCTTAAACGAAATAGGAAGAATTCACTTTATATACTTGTTTTCACATGTTCTCATCTGGGTTAGGCGAACCTCTAATTGACCCTTTGTCTCTTACACTCTCTGTCCCGTATATATGCTCTACGTGGATCACGTTGCCAAGGCCGAACATAGATCCAGGTCATGAACTAACTTCACTCATCTGCAAGCATGTAGAGTAAGTTTGAGGTAGCTGACTAAATCATATAATGCCTCATTAAGATCGTAAGGAAAGGTTGTATAAAGTGACTAGGACTTCAGGCGGTCACTTTTTCTCTTGGTTTATCACATGTCTTGTTCAATTTCGTATAGTATTCTTGCTTTAATGATGACCCTCATGACGGTACAGACGAAACCTAGAATTGGTTCATCATAGTCGCAGGATGGTGAGGCGATGAATGCTTCGCATAATCCAATGGCTTTAACTTCGAGTGATGCGATTTCCTGAATTTCTTCCAACCAACTTTTTCTTCCAAATGGAATGTCATGTCATAATATGGCCCTAAAGGATTCTTTGAAATCCAATTTTTCTTAATACGATTTCGCATGTCCTCAATGGGCTCATACGGACCTTCGTTTGACCCTGTGGCTGTGCTCCTCCTTGCCTTGTTTCTAGGGCTTAAGTGAATTATGTATCCATACTTTCTATCCTCCCAATCCGATCTATCAACTGAATCCCCTCATTCATCCCGGTTTCAAGGGATTCTCGGCATCACATGGATTCCCTGGATTCCTTCGAAATACCTTACTCGATTCCCTCGATTTTCTGTATCCTCCCAATTGTATTCATTCCAAGGCCGATGCCCATCATTTCGGAGGCTTCAAGTGAGCAGATAGGCTCGCGCTGGCAACCTCGTGTCTGTCCGCTTGCCTGGCTTCGTGTAGACATGACGGACGAGAGGTCGGACAGAGTGTGAACCAGAAACAGTGGCACACTCCCAATTCACGGTTAAAAGCGGCTAGTCGCCTGTCTCAAGCGAAATGGAGTTTGTTCACTTGGTGAACCCGCCAGACACGAACGTGTATATGAAGAGATTGCCTTTTTCTACCGGCCTAAAATGTAAACCAAGCCGTGACACTGCTTTGCTGGGGCATCGAGGAATGGAGTAAACATGCTTATCCTAAAGACGAAGAGAGATAGAGGATGAGAGAAAAAGAGAGAGAGAGAAAGAGAATAAAAGAGCAAGGTGGAGAGGGAGAGAAATGTCATAGTGGACAGCTGAAGTAACCAAAAGGAGGTTGTGAAAGTGGAGATACTGCAAATGAGAAGATAACTCTTATGTCAGAAGGAAACAAGATAATGTTCAGGTCAATAGCGTAAGGATATAAGAAGACGCTACAAAAGTATCTGGACAAATGGGGGTAGAAATGACGCAGATTGAGAAAGAGGTACTTGGCGAAGGAGAACAGTTAGTGATTAAGGTATGGCGCATTGATTTGTTCGTATGACGAAAAGAAAAAGAAGGGATAAAGGAGGATCGAATAAAATTGGGAAGAGGATTAAAGAGGCATAGCAAAAAGGCAAAATTCAGGAGAGAAATGTAGAAAAGATAAAGGAATGAAATAAGGATAGAAAGAAAGAAATCGATAGAATGAAAAAAAATGAGTGGAGAGAAAGGAAGCCGAGAGAATGTGGAAAAAAGAGTTGGATTAGTTTAAGGAATAAGATAGGAGAAGTGAAGTAAAATACGTAAAGAAAATGAGCGAAAATAAAAGAGGAAAGAGAAATAATGAGGAGAGATATTAGTGGAAAAAAAGAGGAGAGATGAGATGAGATGAAATGAAATGAAATGATATGATAAAAGATAGAAAAAGAAAAGT